CCCATAATGTAACTAGGCTGTTACTTTTTCTATGCAAGCAAATACCTTATGTGAAAACCAATACAAAAAGACAAAACATAAATATCCAAGGAACAGACCTTGTCCAAAAGAATGTTAGCAGACTTAAAATTTCGTTGTTTCACTTGGTTTTTAGCATCATGCAAGAAATAAAGGCCTTCAGCAGTATTAACAGCCACCTGAATTCTAGTAGACCAAGAAAGACACTGATTCTCTCCTGTGAAAGAAAATCAATACCAAATGTCACCCATACTTTTTTGATCTACGTTCTAATGTGGCTCCAAAATTTCGGGATAATTAGTATACAAGATCCTACGCAATATAACCCAGTGGATTCAATAATACATCATTAATGTTGTGGATAAAATTTTTTATACAACTTGAATGCAAGAACCGCTTAAAGTTGTGATGTACATAGTTTTTTTAAGAACAATGACCAGAAATTTATCGGCCAAGCATTCCATAACTATATCAGGTAATGGCTTTCTATACGGGTCTACTAAAGGAACAAAGTACTAAAATTATGGATATGATTGAATCCTCATTGGAACAAATAAAACATATAACATTTTAAATTACATGCAAGATTGAATCATGGATATCCTCTACATGATTATGTATGAAACAAGTACAGAAAATGAAATACAGCCGGTACATTAAGGTAATGCTTCATGGATTATTAAATAACAAATATGACAATGGAGAAAGATATTTAAGGGTTGCTCATAAATATACTGAACTGATAAGCACCATGGCATTGAATAAGAAGTTATTTCAGTGTAACCTACTTCCGAACAAATGATTGTACAGGCTTCCCTTCGGCATGAACTCATATACCAAAAGCAGGTTGTTACCCTCAGTGCAGTAAGCAATAAGTTTAATCAGGTTTGGATGACAAAAATGGCTCAGATGATTCACCTCCGTCTGCAAAATATTGAGGGGTTACAGAATGTTTAGCATAACTATATCATAAAACTCACAAAGACTGCATTAAAAAACATACCAACCATCCCTTGCACCCTTGAAAGTCATTGCGATTCCACAGCTTGATAGCAACGGTCATTCCAAATCCCAGCTTTTCAGCAGTAAGAGTACGCTTGTTGATCCCTTCCTTAAAAACTGGACCAAATCCTCCTTTCCTAAAAATGTTGTCAGGTCTAAAGTTTCTGGTTGGTTTCTTTAATTCTTTGAATGGAATGGGCTTAGCATTAGCATTAGGCAACTGCAATATCCCATATTCAGATCTTGGCATATGGAGGCTCTCGCCATTGCTTTCTCCACTATAAAACAGTATACTTGGGCTGGAGGAAGCTGAAGAATTGACAGATTTGCTGAGAATTCTAGATGCTTGTGAATTATTACAGGAAAAGGTGCACAGAGACAAAGATTGAATCAAGTTTGTTGCATGAATTAAGGCAAATTTCAAGTAATAGCAAACATAAACATGAATTTATGGGGGTTCACATACATAATACTTCTCTACATGTACATATCAGAAGTGCAAAAGCAATCAAACTACTCTGTCACTAGTAAAAGATTTTACATAATCATCACTCAAACAAGACAAGAAGCTAAAAGACTCCAACATTCAAAAACACAAAATTTAAAACAGCAAATTTCATGGCGAAAAGGAGAGGAAAAAAGAACATAGAAGTGTCACGATTTATTCATCATCAAAATCCACAATTTACTAAGAATGCATGTACGTTGAGCATCTCCAATGGCAGTGTAAAATTGAGTGTCAAATGATATCTCTAAAATCGCTTTTGTATCCTCATTTATATCCTCGTGGCTCTAAATCCAAATTCTCCTCCAATGGAAAGATCTAAATCCACTTTTTGCCTTTTGTAGATGTAAAAAAGGATGTAAACTGGAAAATACAATTTGCATTTCCCGTGCATCTCTCTACTAGAGAGGTTTTCGGCCACTTTGGAGATGTAAATCAAAATTTAGATCTATTTTACACCATAGAGATGCGCAAATAATATTTGAAACCTTACTCAAAATTTCAGACATTATGCAAAGGTAATCTACTGAATATAGTTAAAGACTCACCTTACTAGTAATCAAACTAGACCCAATTAAAAAAATAATCCCCCAAAAGAGACTTAACAGAAAAGTAAAAAGGATTCTTAAGTTTGCCTAAATCATTTTTTTTTNCACAGAACTTCACCCAAATAAGAGGAATTTGTTTACCGATTTTGCATATGTTTTTGGTGGATACAAGGTGTCTGCATTCAATTGGTTAAAATTTATTATTTTTTATTCTAACAAATTAAATGCAGCGAATACGAATGGTGCTTAATATGTATTTTAGAGGGAATGAAAGCTAAGTTCTCAGCATGCAGACTTGAAGAGCCCAAAGGAAGCTAAGGAGAAAAAGCAGGAAATTTCTAGCTACTTTCTTTTTTCACTTGAAGACGATAACATTTACTTAAAATACCGTTGACTGACTTTTCAGCTTAGCCAAACATGTTCAACAAAAGTCAGTCGCTCGCCAAAAGGGAATCTGCTTAACATGTATTTTGAAGGGAATGAAAGCTAAGTTCTCATCCTGCAGACATGAAGGGCCGAAAAGTAAATGGGGAGAAAACACGGGGAAGTTTTCAGCTTAGCCAAACATTCTCTATTCGTCCGTCCGGTTGTCAAATGAGCGAGAAACTTGTCGGCTCACCAAACAGAGAAAAATATGCATCTTTTTTATAAAAACCTATTGGACTGTGATGCCATTAAGTTGGCCCAGTCCTTGGGCGATCATGAAATGGGCTAAGCCCAATTGTCGATAGAACGCATCCAAAATGGACCTAAATCCAATCTAAGTTAATGGACACGTGTGTTGCTCCAGACCCTTGATTACCAATTGAAGATCTACGGTGATGAGTCTTAATATATAAGTGACTTGAGTGGTTGCATTATTCACTTTTCTCGACTCTCTGATCCTTGCGAGAAGCTTCTAGAGTCGTGACTTCTCTTATTCTCTTTCGTGTACTTTGTGTAGCCCTAAAAATTTCTGGTGTTTGGCGGGATAATCTTGTTAGGAAATTAGACCGCTACTAATTGCGCCAGGATCAGTGGGACGCAAAATAAATTGAACTGAGAAGAAATAAATGTAGCAAAAATAATAAGTACAAGTGACACAAGAATTTACGTGGTTCGGCAATCGTGCCTACGTCCACAAACCCACACCAATTCTTTTACTGTATCAACAAGATAATAAAATGAATACAACAAATACACTCTCTGTATTTTATTTGCCTACGCAAAGACAATCTCTCAATTTTCTCTCGTTAATTTTCTACACAAACGAAAGCCTAACTGCTTCTCACTTTGTGTTTTGCTCACTATCTCTCGTGTTTTCACTCTACACAATTTTCTTGCACTTCTCTTTTGCTCTACGTTTTGGCACACATTTCCCTTTGCTTTGGCCCCAATTTATAGTGAAAAATCTCACCATCCTCATAAATGCATCTCCATTATTTTTCAACAAAGTTGCCTTGCATTAAATGCATGGCAAAATCTTCTTCCAAACACAATTCCGGCTGCATGGTTGGAAGTTTCTCCATTCACATTGTTTTAGTCAACAATTGCTACCACAATTTGGAAAAAATTTGTCTGACACCATAGAAATTTTGAACCCTAACATTTAGGCTCCATATTTTTCAACAATCTCCCACTTGGAGAGTAATGTGGCTTCACCTTGAGACATCCTGCGAGCAATTTTTTTTTAGTAAAATTGGTGTGGATCACCTTCCTCATCTTCATTTTTGAAGGCCAACTGATATTGAACACAACTCCAATTTTTCTGTAGTTACCGCCTTGGTTAACATGTCAGCTGGGTTTCTACTGCCCTGGATCTTTTCCAGTGTTAATACTCCATCCTCCAAGAG